TTGCTTGTGTGAGTCTATCTAATGGATCTAATGGTCTATCTTAATTAGAAATATTTGCCTTTATGAGGTTACATTCCAACTAAGAGGTAACCAAGGATATAATGGATTTTTTTTTCTTGTGCTATGAATGGTGATTTGATTTATGATCAACTCCATCATTATGGTTTTGCCTAGGGTGAAAGCTAATGTGAACAGGAGATTTATCAAGTGACTATTACCATTTCTTTCAGGATTGTTGCCAGAATTAGCATATCTTCCTGCAAATATAAGGTTTAAACTGCTGGGCTATGTAGTGTTTGAGTATGTGTAAGGGAGTGCATGTTTTGTTTACATATTCTGGTAAGCCATCATGTTGTTTGCTTGGATTTGGTTTAGCATGAGAACTGAGAACTCAGTCATTATGGTTTATAAACTATTGTTAATGAATTAGAACACTCTATTCCAAACATTTGTGTAAATCCAAACTTTATGATATATTCAACAAACTATGACTTAATGCTGTAGAGAGTGAGATTCTCTAGAAAGTTTCGCAGTGAAAGGTAGCTCTCTTAGGAGGACAATGTTTGAGGGATAACATAGGGCAAGTTGATCTCAGAAAATGTGGTATAAACTATGCCATTTTCTTCTTACAGCAGATGGTGGCATTTAGTTGACCTTTCCTGATCTTGAAAAAATAAGCAAAGTTGAGGCAGGTAAGTATTTGGATGGAAACCTCACCACGGATTTCCAGATTTGGGAAGCTGAAAAACCCATTCTGGAAGGAACTTGTGAAAATCTAATATTATACTGTTGCCAAGAAAATACCACAATATTTTCTTTATTTTCTTAATCTGAATTAATCTCAACAGGCCTCTGATAGTAGATTTATGAAGAGCACCTCTTAACATTTTTTTAAAAAACTGTCACTTAATTTCCTTCTCTCCATCCTATCCAAACTACCATACATTTACACAGCTAGGAAAATGGCATATGGCATTCCCATATCTGTTGGAGTGCCTGCCTGTACATAAATGCCACTTAATTTACATGATGTCACCTTGAGAAATTATTACACATGCCAGTCTCTTTTACCCCAGGCATGAGAGGTATTTGTATCTCATGAATTCCAACCATGTTTTACACATCTCGGGCTAAATTTCCACTTGGAAAATCAGTAAGATAGGTGAGCCACCGCTGGGGGTGGGGTAGAAGAACTTGGCTCCGAATTGCTCAGCGTTCCTTCTATTTGCACACAGCAAATTAATATTTTACAGCTTGAGAAACAATCATTGTAATCAGCACCATACAACACAAGAGCTAGTTCTATGCATCATGTATAGCCTGCTGCCTAGCAATGTTGCTTAGCAACCTGGCATCATCCAGGCAAAATCCAGCATTAACCTGGAGTGGCTGGTAGGGCTGGTGAGATGTGACATTTTGTGCATCAACCTGCATCAAAAAATTAATGCTTTCCTGAAGCAAATTTTGATGGATTTTGAATATCCTTCTGTTGTTTTTCTCATTCTTTGAAGTGTGGCACTGAATCATATTATACCACATTCTGTATAATTTGATTGAAAACAAAAAAAAGCTCACAGTCACTTGAATCTCTATCAACCTGATTTAGAGAGCAGTGGAATTTTACAGCTTAATCTCATGTTTTGCCTCTGTGGCCTGTATATTACCTCCGCTTAGCCATACAGATAGATCACAATGAAGTGACTCACTGATGCAGCTAAAGATAGATACATACAGGCTAAAGCTATCTACATTCTGCATGCAAAATTTGATTATTTTTCTTCTATTCTCAAAGTTTGTTAAAAGGTTTTCTTCCGGGCAAGAGAAAAGAATTGTAAGCAGGTATTATAGATATTATTGGAAGGTTAAGTGGGAAGGTGGAGTCCATCCAGAATATATAAAGTGCTTGAAGGACAGGGATTTGAGAAAGAGATTGTCCACAGGGCAATAGCCTGTTATGACCACAACCAACTGCAAAAGAAAGTTATTTTGAAAGGTGAGGAAAAAGCTGACTGAATAATTAGTTAAAGGATAGGGCAAGCAAAATCCTGAAAACAATTCCTAAACTTTCATCCTAAGGATCTTCTGGTAGAATTTTATTATTGGGTTGGATGTACATTTTTGAAGTTATTTTCAGAAACTTAGAATTGTTTGCCCATCTTCAGATGCTCTGCCAACCAAAGTAGACACACCAATCATGCTTCAGTGATTACAGGAGACCAAGGAACTTACTAGAGTTTTGAGTAGAAGCTTTGACTGGTTTGTGTAATGCAAATCAGCATGTTGTACAAATTCAGGCAATTGGATAATTTAGTAAATCGTGGTTAAGTAAACGATGGATTACATATTATTGTCAGATTGTACCCTCTTTCCAATTTTTTTCCCATGGTTCCCTTGAGATAAAATCTTGTTTATTATTTTGGGCCACTTTGATTAGTAAACAATATTTCTGGAGGATTAAAAATGCATGGATCAATATAACTACTTTGCTTCATACTTTCTTTTTCTTCCTTTCTGCTTTTTGTAAGAAATGTGATGGAGATTCCATAATTCTGGCAGCTGCAATTTATTGGGTTACGTTTTAAAAGCATCACTGTTTTGTCAGAATTATGAAATGGCTTTTCAGAAGTCAGCAATGAAAAGGGGCTCCAGCATGAGTCCAAAAGCTCAGGAGACAAAACCTCTGGTCCCAGTGGCCAACCTAGATTGGATCCTGCAACATTATCCTAGGACACATATATTCACCTTCATTCATACTATACATGTGCCTAAAATGAACATCTGCTTCCCCCAAGAGGATATTGTCCCAGAAGAGGCATATTTTAGCAAGCATCTTTTGTGTGAGAGCTACTAACAAGACTGTCAGCATATTAGCAATATATAAGTCTGCAGTGTTAGAGTGTGTGTGTGTGTGTGTGTAGGTGTTTGTTAACAGTCTGCAATCAGCCAAAATAAGAGTCTAAATGCTAAAACATGAGCCTAAAACAAAACTCAGACCAATCATATAATAGTACAACTCACATTCTTTAATCAAAGGCTGATGCATTGGCATAGCAGTTATATAGAATTTGGCAAGTGTCAGAAATTGCATTTTATTTTCATGTTATTAATGTTTTGTAAACTGCATTCCAAAAACTTTGAACATTCCAAAAACTTTGAACATAATCACCTTATGAACAATTTTTGATTTACCATGTATAGATTGTTGCTAAAAACATCATATGCACCTGGAAAGAAACTTGCATACCAGATGCAAATGTTTGGCTTCATGAAATGTGTCATCACTTAGCCCTTAAATTGGCTCTTGATTAATGAAAAAGAAAGACTTCATTCTATATAATCAAGGTTTAATTCATTGTTTAAAGATCACGCTTTTTCGTCATTCATCTTACCATTCCCCCCTTCATTTCTCAGCTTTATTCTAAAATCATGATATTTTCCATCTCTTCACATATCATTCTGGACTTTCCTCTCTTTTATTCCACCAGTATTTCTTTTCACCATAGTGTTTCTTCTTTGCCTCTTTTCTTCCATCCTTATTTCCTCAGTGCATTTTTGTGAAAGCCTTGGCTTTCCAAAATTTAACCAAGAGCTTGCCACAGTGATCAATTTCAGATCTATAGTAGCAGCCTGAGTGCAAAACGTGATTAGGTACATGTTCAGCACATCTTTTCCACTTCACAGCAAGCAGCCATTCACTGAGGAAAAACTCTGACATCCTATAGATTCCAAGAAAGTTTGAGCACCGTGGATGAACTGGGTTGGGAAAAGTGATAGTAGAACCACAAAATCCATAAAGTTCTTCCCAATGGCATGATGGGATTCTCCATCTCCATCCAAATCAATATCCAGAATAGTCTTTCCAAGCTTGAACATGGTCAGGGTGCTTTTATAAGTGTACAGCTTTGATCGCTGTATATTGTGGCTGTCATTCTGAGACGTTTTGCCATATCCCTGCAAACACCCCTATCCATGGCCAGGCTTGCAAATGATTCTGGAATTTGAATTTTGGTTTAAATAATTCAAATATTACACTGACAGTTCTGTAATTTATTAAGATGCCTAATCTTTTTGCAATGATGACACCTGGTGTTCAGAATAGATCCTGCAAAACTATAAGTTAAGGTGGAAAAAGCATCTGATCATAAAAAGCATACAGAGGTAATTAGCATCAAAAAATAAACCAGTTAAAATATTTTCTAACATAATCCAGGTGGCACATTTTAAAGAGCTTATTTACTGCTCCTCAATGACCATGAGTTTGAATAGGTTAATATAAATCTGTGCTATTCATAGGGGCAGATATTGAGAAGATAATGCAGGCTGTCCTAATCTGGACATCTATGGATATCTTGGAATGGCATTCTGAGTATTCCTGGCCAATTTCTACTATTCCTGCTCGTTGTATATTTTTGAGGGTGAATGTATCTTCCTTGGATTAGGTTCATACAACACATAAAGTTAAAACATGATTGTTAAATTTGGGACTTAATGTGTTATGCAAATCCAGCCAGTGTAATTATATGTTAATTTATGGGTCCATTGACATTGGACCACTTCAGTCAACCATGGTTAACTATGGGTCTAGGTATGTTCAATAAAATATCAGTAATGGTGGGTGAGCATATTTGTTTTTCTACTGGCCCTCCTTCAAATCACTGCTCAATTGCTCTTGCATAAGTACATCTATGAATATATCTGTTGTTGATATTATATAAAACAGGAAAGGTATAAATACAGAAAATAGGACAATAAAAATACTGGTTTTATACAATAGCCATCTTTCTACATAACAGGCAATAAGTTTAGTGCATACTACGATCGGTCCGCATAAGTCTAACCCAGGGTTTTTCTACATTTATTCAAAACAACGCAAAAGCCTTTGCTTTCCCTACTCCGACTTCCCTTTAAGACTTCCTTTGGTCCCTGGAACTACGCGAGAGCTCCCCTCCCTCGGTATGTAATATTCGCCTCTCCCTGTGGTCTTGAGAAATGAGGCACTCCGCAGAAACTACGACTCCCAGCAAGCCGCAGTTGTGCGTCAGTCTCCCCGCGCGCTTCCTGTGTGCGAGGCCGAGAAGGCCGGTTTGACCTAGAGGAGAAGATGGCGGCCTCGGTGGCAGGGTTGGGGCTGAAGGTGAGCGGTAATGTTTCGCGGATTTAAAAAAAAAAAGGGGGGGGGTGTCCTGTGTTTATGGTCTTCTCATTACCAGAACATTTCTCCCGTTCCTGTGAGAGTTCGGGGAAGGAAAGCTCACATCTTAAGGATCAAGCAGGATCCCGAAGATACGGAGCTTGCTTAAAAATGAGGACTCTGATTGATAGGAAGGTGTAAAGGGGATGCTTTGAGCGAGCGGTCTCCATTTTCGCTGCCAGATTTGTTGCAAAATCCTCCTGGAATTTAAGAACCGCCGCAGACCAGAGCAATTTCTGAATGCAACCCAAAAAAAAAACAAAAAACGGCTAACCTCATTTTTGCCCACCGTTGTGCGAACTCGACCTCTGGTTTGATGGTGGTCCAGTATGACTCGTGAACCCAGTCTCCCCGTGGCGCTCGGTGAAAGTGCTTGTGGTCCTAACTGGAAATGTTTGTTTATTTATTAAATTTATATGCTTGTCAATCTCCCCGATAGGGCGACTCTGGGCGGCTTACTGAATATAAAAAGAAAAGCAATTAAAATTTCAAAACTATGCAAAAAACAAACAAACAAACACCCCAGAACCAAGGAGATGGACAGCACAGGGAATGGAATCCCACCCAGAACTAAAGATGATAATCAGATCCTGATGTCTCCTGCATCCACATCCTCGTCATCTTGCCAGAATTCAGCTGAAGCCTGAAACCTGTTTATGCCCTGTCACATTTTGTGAAATGGGCAGTTGAATCAATTTGCTAAAGAAATAAAATACCAGGAACGCGATAAGTAAATGCTTCTTTCTTCCAGAAGGGAAAGGCAGCATGGTAAATTGCTTGGGTTGAAAGAAATTCCCAAAATAGAATAGAAAAACTAGTTGCATATGCATGTGGAATAGGCATAGATTCACAGAGTTGGGGACCCTTCTGGCTTTTGAGTATCCCCCCCCTCCCACACACACACACACACACAAAGAGAGAGCAAGAGAGTGCAGGAATCCAAGATTGCTATCCAGCCTCTCTGGAAACACATCTAGTGAAGGGAAATTCACAATGTGATTGCACTGTTGAAATGCTGTTGATTGATGATTATGCACCATCAAGACATTGTCTGGCAACCATATAGATAGAGTAGCAGAGATCCTTGTCCAGAGTCTTGGACACAATTTCCGAATCATCACTGAAGTGTCCACAGCCCTAGAAGTAGTATTTCATAAGAATATACAATACCGAACGACATTGAGAAGTAATCAAATTAATTATGTTAATTAATCATATTAAGAATATATTGTATTTGCTGAATTAATAGGATGCTGTTGTAATGTTGAAAGCATGCCTTGTTCAGCTGTTGGTCGCTGAACTAATTCCTATGGATAGTTTTTTTAAAAAGCTACATTTTGTATGTCTAGAAGATGCATTAGGTTCAAATCTACAGAATTAAGTTTTACAAAGTGACTTATCTCAATTGTAAATTAATTTTTTTATTACTGTGATTTTTTTTTACTCCATTGATGTAATAGCTTTCTTTTTTTAAAAAAAATAGTTTTCTTCTTATAGGTGCGGCACTTCAGTACCTCTGTGATTAGGCCAGCATCCAAGCTAATACAGGTAAGTTTAACACAAAGTATTGCTAAATTTAGCAACATATTGCTAAACCATAACTTTAATAGTGAGGGGTTTCTTTTACTCTAAGGCAGTGGTTCTCAACCTGTGGGTCGGGACCCCTTTGGGGGTCGAATGACCCTTTCACAGGGGTCGCCTAAGACCATTGGAAAACAAATATTTTCAATGGTTTTAGGAATAATTTTATTGTTGGGGGTCACCACAACATGAGAAACTGTATTAAAGGGTCACAGCATTAGGAAGGTTGAGAACCACTGCTTTAAGGGAATAAACGTCATTGAATAATTGTTGTAATTTAAATAGTGAAAAGATAGCATTTAGCACCTTTCACTTATGAAGTGCACTTTAATTATATTCTTTGGTCATGTACAATGAATTATAAACACATTTTCTTAAACAGGTGCATTGGATTCAGTCTTATTTTATTCTCAAAATTTACATTTAATATGAAATTCAAGAAAGAGAAGAAGCAGAATATTTTCATTAAATGAGAGAGAAAAAGAGAACCAAGAATAAAGTTGGTAGGAGAGGAAAGATAGGTATTTGTTAAAGAGGTGGGGAAAGAACTATATTATTATTATTATTATTATTATTATTATTATTATTATTATTATTATTCATATTTCTATGCCGCCCACTCTCTGAGGACTCTGGGCGGCTTACACCAAAGACAGTATACTAAATAGCATATTGCCCCCAACAATCTGGGTCCTCATTTTACCCACCTCGGAAGGATGGAAGGCTGAGTCAACCTTGAGCCAGTGAGATTTGATCCGCTGATCTGCTGAATCAGCAGTCAGGTGAAGTAGCTGCAGTATTGCACCCTAACCACTGCGCCACCTCGGCTCATATCATATAAGTGGACAACAAGGAAATATGAGAAAGCAAGAACAAAAACCCATTGACGTCCAGAGATGCATGAGATTTTTTTATAACAGGACTAAAATCTTCACATCCCATCAATTTTAGTGAATTGGTTGCAGTGTGCTTAGGTGTCTGTTATAAATTGTCCAAGATCACATCATTATCTTGTACAGCAATATTACAGGTAGTCCTTGAGTTAAAACAATGATTGAGTTCAGACTCTTGGCAATTGAGTGAAGTGGTTATTAAGCAAGATTTCACATGACTGCTTCGCTCAACAATCATAATTCTGGTACTCCAGGTTCTAGTTGTTAAGTGATTCCATGAGTTGTTAAGTGGATGGGATAGCAGATAAGGTATGCAAGGTGCCTTGGTGGGAGAAGACCCTGGCAGACTCCACTCAGAAGCTGAAAATTCTCCCTGCCAAAATCCAAGCAGTAATTTCCAGCCGCTGAGCAAAGACACTCATGCATGGCCTGTGCTGGGCCTCCCAAGCCTTCCCTCACCCAGCCTGAGGTACCCCACATTCCTTACTTTATTGCACTGCTTCGCCACACTCTGCTTGGGTTTCAACTCCCTCTTGTCTCTTACGGGCTGGTTAAAAGAGCTGCCTGCCAAAGGATGTGAACTCCCTTCTGCACAAAAGGGAACCCATTTGGGTGGGTATGGAAACAGCTCAGATTACCAGGATCTGAGCTCCATTTTTGCGCCCCGCAAGATGTTAACTTTCCTCCACATGCAGAAGGGAATTTCTTCATTGGGTGCAGGAACAGCTCAAATCTTCAATATCTGAATTACATCCCATGGGAGGATATAATCTCTCTTTTGCATACAGAAGGGCACTCCTTTGTTGAGGTACAGAAATGGATGACAGATCACCAGAATCCAAGTTCCATTTGTGGATGTCAACTTTCGACACATAGAAGAGAACTCCTTTGACGGGGCACAGGAACAGAACTCAGATCTTCAGAATCTGAACTCCATTTCTCAACCCCACTGAAGGAATTCAACTCCCCTCAGCAGGCAACTCTTTTCATCCAGCCCCCAGAGATGAGAGGAAGTCCTCTTGGCAGACAGTAGCAACTTAAAATCTTTCTTCATGGCTTCCCACCTGACTTTCTGAGGAAGTCAGCAGAGAAAATTGCAAATGGCAATCATACAATTGCGGGGTCCTTGTCAACCAATTATAAGCGTGAACAGGTTGCCAAGCACCCAGATTGCAATCACATGATTGTGTGATTGTGTGGGAGGGTGACATTTTACGACAGCTAGAAATGCTTCAAGTCTGTAAAGCATCCTTTCCAAGGCTGTTGTAACATCAAATGGTGGTTAAACAGCTAGCCCTAAGTCAAGGACTCCCTGTACCAGTATGTTTTAATGTGTTGCTTTTTTCCCCCGCAGCCCCCAATTCAAATATATGGGTTAGAAGGCCGATATGCCACTGCACTCTACTCTGCTGCTTCTAAGCAGAAGAAATTGGATCAAGTAGAAAAAGAACTGACTCGTGTGTTGGTAATAACATTTTGTATTGCAACTCTTTTGGTGCCTGTTTGTGCTCATGAGTATTTGAGGAAGTTCTTTTGATCTCCATGTTAGGCAAAAAATAAATCCTTCTCTCCCATTTTATTATAGAAGTACAAAAATTACTTTAAAGTATTTTTGTAGGAAATATTAAGAATACATACTTAATTCTTCTAGTTCAAGTAGAAATTCCTTAATTACAATAGAGAATATCGAAACTAAATAAATAAAAATAAAAGAGTAGTTAACATGCAAAAATAGATATTATTTTGTCTTTTATTTTGAGAGCCACTTAGAATTGCTGGGAGTTGGATGAAGACTAAGTTGAATATATTCAGCATTTGGACTGGATTGGTAGTACGGGTTTCTTGTAAAAAACAGAGAAATAAGTTCTCTTCAAGGGTTTTTTTGGAGAGGGAGGAGGCTGGGATCGCTGATAATGTATAGGACTGATTTCCTTGATGAGGGTGTGACATTGTCCAGATGGGGTTATATCAGTCGGATCTGATGCTGGCTGAGTCATAACTTTTGACCACTCCCCTTGCTCCGCCCCTTTCATGCCCAGTTTAGACTCAGTCGGCCTGAGAGAAACATCTCCTACAGATCTGGCTATACAGCCCAGGTCTGTTCAATATCACAGAATTGTAAGTCCTTTTGACCACCTTTTTATTTCTATAGCTTAAAATTGTTACTTCCCCTTTAAATTTTTTCCCCCCCTTCTATTGTAGCCTGCCGGTTTTGCTTTGCTAGAGCCTCCTAAGCTGCAGGCTTTGCTTCGCTCCTGGCGGCGGCCATTTTGAAAGCCCCATTTTAAAAGGGAACTTTTTTCCTTTTTCTTTTTCCTGTCTTTTTTGGGGGGGATTTTTTTGATCTATCCCACCAACGATTGTTTAAGGGGCCCTAGACCACAATACCACCAACAATAATAGCAATTACCTAATTTTAAGGGAAATTGCCAAATCGGGCCGCCGCCCACCCTACAGCGATCCCAAAACCGCTGATCAGCTGTAGAGCGGTTAATTGAAGCCCCGCGGCAATTTTAAAAGGAAATTTTTGCCGCTTTGCCACCAACGAGTCTGCAAGTTTGGGGGGGGCAGCAAGCTTCTTCTTGCCTCCCCCTGTGGCATTTCCAGCCAGTATTTTAATTTTTTTCTCTTTGTGGCTGGGGGGGCGCTGAGGAGGTCCGTTTCTAGGCTTGCCTAGACAGATACCTCCAGAGCAGAGTTTTCCTCCTGCTCAAGTGTGACCTGGCAGCCATCGTGCTTAACGCCAGAGTCATTGCCATCTCAAATTTCAACCACGTGGTGAAACTGAAACCAAAAGCTATTTCTCCAGTCGACATCGTGGTCGCAGTGAGTATACTAAAGATGGCGGATCGCTCTTCCCATGGGGAGGAAAATACTATGTACACTGGGAAGAAATCAACTTCCAAACGTAAGCACCTTTCTAAGCCTGAGGAGAAGGATTTAGCAAAGAGGCATAAATCTCTAGAAAAGCAAGCTAGTGAAGTGCCTGCAACTGAGCCTGATAAGGGGACCCCCCCCCCCCATCTACCCCCCCTCCTCCCATTTCAACTGTTAGCCAGGCCTGGTCTTCGGAGGGAGAGGGTAATGTTCTTCAACAAGACCAAAGCAATTTGCAAAACCCCTTTGCAAGTCAATTAATGACCCCTGCAACTCCTGTATTTGGTGGGCCTGCAGCTGCAGCTGCTTCAACAGGTGAATCCTCTATGCCTGTGCTAACCCCCGAAGATCTTTTAAAAAATGTGCCAGAAGGATTGAGAATTCTGATTGAACAGGCCATTGCTTCTAGAATGGCAGCCAATATTCATGGTCACCACTCTGGCTCTGCTATTTCAGAGCGATCTGCCCGTATTAGAATTTCTCCTGCAGTCAGTCTTACTGGCTCTCATTCTCCTGCAGCCTCCAGAGTTAGTGAAGCCTTTGTGTTTGAGGAAGAGAGACATTCTGACCTATCAGATGATGAGGGGATAATCCAAGATCAACCTGCCTTTACAGGATTATTTCCCCCCAATAAATTCAAGTCTTTATTGCATAAGGCTCGCTTAACAGCCGCCTTAAAGGAAGATGAATACTTTCAAGAGATGCAGGAGGCTCAAAAGGGTGGACTACAGGGACCTTTTTCTGAGCCCCCCCCTCAACTTTGTTATGTACCAACTCCACAAATGTTCATAGACGTGGTAAAGAAACAGTGGGCTGGGCCTGCAACCATGGCATCTGCACATGGTTCAGATAAGAAATATTATGCTGTTGCTCCAAAGTTTGCTCAACTCTTGCAAGTTCCACCTGTAGACAGTCCTGTAGCGGCCCTTTCCTCTTCTTCTTCATACGTAACTGGGGATACTTCTGAAGGTCTAAGGCCAGAAGACAAAAAGTTAGAATTTCTGTTTAAAAAGAACCATCAGGCCTCGGCATGGGCAATTCAATCAGCTTCATCAGCCTCATTTTTTAATAGAACTACCATCCTTTGGCTTCAACAGTTACAGGCAAGGGTACCCCCCAGTGAGGTTCGCCTTCATCAGGATATTAATAAAATCATTGCTGCCACTCAATTTTCGGCTGATGCAACCTTGAATTCAGCCAAATTTGCATCCAGAGCCTTAGCCTCTACAGTTTCAGCCCGCAGGATGCTCTGGCTTCGCCAATGGCCTGCTGACCTTAAGGCCAAATGGCGCTTGGCTGCAGCTCCATATTCTGCAAACAGACTATTTGGGGAATCACTTGACCCTCTTCTTGTAGAGACACGGGACAAGCGAAAAATTTTGCCCTCAACATACAAACGGGCTGAAGGAAGACCCTCTCCATATTACAGAAGGCCTTCCTTTCGTTCCTACCCCCAGGGAGGCCCCTCCAGGCAGGAATATCTTCAGGGATCCTATCGATCCTCGGACCGTCAATATTTTCGGGACAGGAGCAGACAATTCCAGCCCAAACGGTCCTTTCGGGGTTCTGGTTTCCGCCAGTCCCGCAGTCGTAAGTGACTCACTACCAAATCCTCCAGTAGGGGGTCGCCTGTCCCTCTTCGCGGACAGGTGGGAAAGGTCATCTTCAGACCTTTGGGTTCTTTCAGTTGTAAAATTCGGCCTCCCCCTGGAATTTCTCTCCAGGCCTCCAACCCGCTTTCTTCAATGTCCAACTTCCAAAAGCGAATCCAGACGTCAATTAATGAACCAAGCAGTTCAGCACCTACTACAGATTCACGCCATAGAGGAGGTCCCCCACGATCAATGGAAACAGAGGTATTATTCCATCCTGTTCGTAGTTCCAAAGCGGTCAGGGGGGTGGAGAGCCATTCTGGACTTAAAAAATCTCAACTCATACATAGTGTATCGCAGATTCAAAATGTGTTCACTAACCTCTATTCTTCAAGGGATTCGTCCCAACGATTTTCTAGTTTCCATAGACCTCATGGAGGCTTATCTTCACATTCCCATCCTGCCAAAGCATCGACAGTATCTCCGATTCAGCTATGCAGGAAAGCATTTTCAATACCGGGCTCTTCCCTTCGGACTGGCATCTGCACCAAGGGTCTTCACAAAGGTCCTGGCGGTGGTGGCGGCTCACCTGAGACAACAACCGGTAAGGATCCAGGCTTACCTGGACGATATTCTGATTCAGGCTCACTCTCAAGAGCAAGCCTTACACGACCTACACCTCACGATTCAAACCCTGAACAACCATGGGTTCTTGGTCAACTACAAAAAAAGTCAGTTAGTGCCAGTCACCAGGATCACCCATCTTGGCGCCATCATAGACGCAGCCCAGGGGACCGTCTACCTAACCTTGGAACGACGGTCAGACATCAGGGACCTAGTAGCTCTCATTCGCAGAACTCCATCAGTTCCATTGGCCACTCTATCCAAGCTCTTAGGCAAGATGGTCTCCTGCGTCCAGATCGTCCCATGGGCACACCTTCACGCTCGCCACTTGCAGTGGTTCCTGCTTCCTTTTCAAAAGAAACGCCAAGCTCACACCATGTTAACAGTCAAAGTTCCACTCTCAGTCAGGCGATCGCTAGGTTGGTGGACATCGCCTTCTCTCGACAAGGGGTGTCTCTTCATGAATCACGACCGACTTGTACTCACTACAGATGCCAGCCTTCACGGATGGGGGGCTCATCTTGCATCACACGTGGCTCAGGGCCGTTGGTCTGCATCAGACCTCGCCAACCCTATCAACTGGCTGGAGCTGAAGGCCATTCGTCTCGCTCTCACGCACTTTCACCGGTTCGTGCAACACCGTCATGTTCTGGTGTTGACAGACAATATGGCGGCGAAGGCACATGTCAACCGTCAAGGGGGCACCCACTCAAAGCGCCTCATGGAGGAATCATTTCGCCTGGGCAAGTGGGCAGAACAACACCTCCTCTCCATCAGAGCGGACCACATTGCGGGGTCGGAAAACACACAGGCGGATTTCCTGAGCAGGACAGAGGTGGACAACAGCGAGTGGCAGATTCATCCCGACATATTTCATCAGATTTGCAACAGGTTCGGCATCCCAGCCATAGATCTCTTCGCCACACACCTGAACAATCAGCTTCCTCGCTTCTTCTCGAGGTTCCCGACGCCAGGGGCGGAAGGGGTCAACGCTCTCCGTCTCACCTGGCCGCCGGGTCTTCACTATGCCTTTCCACCGCTGCCTCTGATTCCGGCCCTGATTCGGAAGGTCATCGCCGACAGAGCAGAAATTATCCTCGTGGCTCCCCACTGGCCACGCCGTCCGTGGTTCGCAGACCTGGTCAGTCTCTCCACATTTCACCCTTGGAGGATTCCACCAGACGAGATTGTACTGCGTCAGGGGAACCTTCTTCATCCGGACCCTCAGTGGCTCCAACTGACTGCATGGCGCTTGAAGGGGCCCGTCTAAGGCAGGACAATTATTCAGATAGGGTGATTCACATTGTTCAAGCCTGCAGACGTAAATCCACAGTCAGACTCTACAATATCTCCTGGCTCGCTTTTTATAGGTGGTGCCGTTCCCGGCAGATAGATCCTGTTTCAGCCTCACCTGCCCAGATCTTGGAGTTCCTCAGAGATGGGTTTGACCGTGGTCTGGCCCATAGTACCCTTCGGAGACATGTGGCGGCTCTGTCTACGGCCTTGTCCAGTCCATCCGGCCGACCACTCACTCAGCACCCTGTGATAAAAAAGTTCCTGCGAGGAGCCAGGCTCTTGCGGCCCTCCTCGATTCATAGATACCCTACTTGGGATTTGCCCAAGGTCCTTAACGCTTTAACTGAGACTCCCTTTGAACCCCTCCGCACGGTTCACCTTCGCTTTCTCACCCTTAAGGTGGTTTTCCTTATAGCCATAACTTCAGCCCGTCGCATTTCGGAGCTGGCAGCCCTCTCAGTTAGGGAGGATCTCTGTGTTTTCCGGCCGGACACAGTTATTTTGAGATTGGACCCTTCCTTTATTCCCAAGGTTAATTCCCCCTTTCACAGGGCCCAAGAGGTTATTTTGCCCAATTTCTGTTCCCGGCCCTCTCATGCCTTGGAACGAAGGTGGCATACCTTAGATGTACGGAGGGCCCTAAAGATTTATATCAAAAGGACTGCTCCCTTCAGGAAGTCAGAGGCTTTGTTTGTTTCCTTTTTGCCAGGCTCCCTAGGGCTCAAAGTCTCTTCTGCCACAATTGGTAGATGGATCAGGGCTTGCATCGCCTCGGCATATCAGGCCCAGGCGATTCCTGTTCCCAATAGCATTACTGCCCACTCCACTAGGAGTGCTGCTACCTCAGCAGCTTGGGCAACTCAGGCCTCCCTTGAGGAGGTATGTAGGGCAGCCACCTGGTCTACCCCCTCGCCATTTATTCGTCATTACAAGATAGATACCTTTGCTTCTGCTGAAGCGTCATTTGGCAGGAGGGTTTTGCAGCAGGTGCATCGTGCGAGGGTCTCTCCAGGCCCTTCGACATCCCGCCCTTGAGACAGCCAAATCTTTGGTATGTCCCTCATCTGGACAATGTCACACCCTCATCAAGGAAATTGGGCATTGGTCTTACCTTAAATGCCAGATTTCTTGAGGGGGGTGACATTGTCCAGCCCCTCCCTCTGTCTCAGTGCCTGTACAGTTTATTGTTCTTGTTCAGTAGTTTTTTTCCAGTTGTCCCGTTGGACCGAATTACTTCCTCCTGATAACGGTGGTTCCTGTTGGAGATACTTCTGGTGGCCTTCCTTCGTCAAAACTGAGCATGAAAGGGGCGGAGCAAGGGGAGTGGTCAAAAGTTATGACTCAGCCAGCATCAGATCCGACTGATATAACCCCATCTGGACAATGTCACCCCCCTCAAGAAATCTGGCATTTAAGGTAAGACCAATGCCCATTTTCTGGGTAGGTTCTTGACAAGGCCTTTTTATTCCCAGATGTTGTTGTTAAAATAAAATGACCTTTGTAACCACACACAATAGCCTAGAGATTTTTTCCACACTGAAAGCAGAAAAATAAAAAAACTTTGAAATACATGTAAAAAGTATCTTTTTTTTTTAACAAATGAAATCTTCCATTATTTAGTTTTCTTACAAGTTATAAAAGTAAAGCAATGTATTCTATTCATTTATTTTAAAAAGTTGGTTTATTGTGGATTTTAAATTCTTTAAAACCTTTTGGAATGAAATTTCTACTCCAAATAACCTGCAGCATTTATAAAGTTGTACAGATTTAAGTTAAAATCTGAAATACATTTACTAAAATGAGAAGTGATGAGAACTGTTTTTGAGTAACTATAAGATTAATCAGAAGGTGAATAGTATTGTGAATGTGTTAATATCATTAAACAGTACAAAGCCATGGAGCATACTTTGATAAATTGAACTAGCATGTCATGAGTTAACTGGCTAGAAATATTATTTTGATCAAGATCTATTTTTTGTTATAATTTAAGGCAGTAATGAAGGACCCTAAATTATCCGGCATTGTCATGAATCCTTATGTAAAGGCCAAAGTAAAACAACAAGTTGTGAATGATCTTTTACTTAAAGAGAAGCTGTCTCCTCTCACTATCAATTTTGTCAGTAAGTACATGTATAGTGTTCATAGTAAATTGGACCAAACTCTACAAATGAGAATTGAATAAATATGTAAAATACTTCAGAGTGAAAAAGCTTTCCTTTGTAATTTGTCAATGTGTTTGCACTTCTAATACAGTTTGGATGCCCTTAAGTACTATTAGTAATTTCTTATATTTTTGTTTTTCAAGAAACACTTGCTGAAAACAGTCGCTTGCCTTACACTCCAGGTGTAATTTCTGCATTTGGTAAGATGATGAGTGCATATCGTGGAGAGATATTGTGCTCTGTAACTACTGCTCAGGTAAGCAAATAGACTAAATTACTTGTATTATCAATTTTTAATAGTTACATCGTAGATAAGTCACTGATAATTAAATATTGGGAATGGAGGAAATCACATGGCTACACACAATGAAAATAAGTATAATTCCTCATAAAAGGAATTCCATCTGATGTAGCCCAGGAAGCAGCCTTTTTCGTTATAGCATCTGCCCTATGGAATATCACCCCGTATAGTTAGATTGGCCTTCAAGCTTGTTGGCCTTTCGAAATTCCCTGAAGACAAGGTTGTGCCATTAGGCCTGGGGATTGCATGGGCATTGTGAGACTGCAAGGTGACTGTATTGTCTGTGAGCTGTGGTTGGCAGAATGCCATACTTTTACATTTTTGGTGTATTGGTTTTAAATGTGATTTAAGCAAGTTTAGGGTTTGGGGCTATTTTAACTTACGAGTCACTTGTTTCTAAAGATTAGGTGTGTGGTATGGTATGGCATGGCATGGCATGGTATGATACAGTATAGTATAGCATAATGAATCACAGTAAGGTAAGAAGCTATGTATTATGTTTGCCAATGTCTTACACATCTTAAAATATTTTTCTGAAAAAAAGAAATCAACATGTCACTTGGGCATTATTGAATGGAGAATTTCAGTTAAGAGTAAAAGCAATGAAATGTTTTTAACTAATCATTCAGCATTCTGTGCATAACTATCCTTTCTATTGCTAAGTAAAGAGATACCATCCATTTAACTTACTTATATGTTTAGAATTGAATGGTATCTGTCAATTTTTAAACTTTTTTCTTTTTTCTTAATATTTTAGACCTTGGATGAGACCAATCTTACTGAATTGAAAACAACTTTGAATGGTTTTCTAGCCAAAGGAGAAATTCTAAAATTGGAAATTAAGGTATTGATGCAAGTTACATAAATGTTCTCTAAAGCAAAACCCTTTCCTTTTAATCTAACAGTAAGATGGGAAGGTGGGCTAAATCTGTTATCCTCATTAGTGATCCTTTATCTGTGCTTGAAACCTCTTCCATGTTTTGATTTTCCAAATCTAACTAATGTAAATTGATTAATAGATGATTGAGTCTTACCCTAGGCCAGGGATGGGCAATTGTGGCTCTTTTACAACCTGTGGACATCAACTCCCAGTCTCAGGAATTCTGGGAGTTGAAGTCCACAGGTTGTAAAAGAACCACAATTGCCCACCCCTGCCCTAGGCCATAGGAACAAACTACTTTTACAAGTGGCAAAAAAAAAAAAAAATCACATTTGTAGCCAGCCTTAAATTAACAGTAGAATTAATTATCGATTTTTTGGTCTACTAATGTTGACATTTCCTTAGATGTTGGACTTCTTAATCTTTCCAATTTAAGTGTTTTCCAGATGTGTGGAGATCAGCTTCCAGAATTCCCAAACCTGGGGGAAGTTGCTTTAAGACCTTGTTCACAGAATAATAACTATAAATAATATTTATGTCATTCACTATCAAATACATATACTAACCATTCTGATCCTCCTCTCTTGCATAGTCAAGTTATTTTTATTATTTATTTACAAGAGTTATATGTCGTTCCAATCACTACCAACTATGAGCAGTTTATCATACCCCATTCTATAAAACAAAGTTAATAATTATATAGCCAGACTTCTGGAAAAGCTGATCTTAATGATCCTTCAAATCTCAGTAAGGTTGGTACCATATTAGATTTCTGGGACAATGTTGTTCTGAAGAACCACCAACAGTTGAAAAGGCCCATATTCAAGGTCCCTGAAGGGATAGTCCTCACCTGAAGGGGCAGAAAGGAATTAATTCTTGATTTTTTGATCAGTTAGAGATAATTGGAAGAAAGCAGTTCCAAAGAAATATCTTTGGCAAGTAAACAGACAGACTCTGAGACTGCTAAAAACCACCAACATTCAATCAAGTTGTTTTTATAGATTTCAGAGAACTGTCAAGATTGTTTGACATCTCTATTCTGTCATAAATTTGATTGTAATGATTTCTTAAATATAACTTCAAGTAAGCAAGCAAGACTATATACTGTGGTTGTAGCCTATCTAATTAAGAATCTTGCCATTTTTTTCTAGTCTGATCCATCAATCGTGGGTGGAATGATTATCAGCATTGGAGACAAGTACATTGACATGTCTACAAAGACCAAAATTCAAAAACTGAGCAGGATCATGAGAGAAGTTATATAATGTTCATCCAGTTATGAATGTTCATCAAAAACCTGTAAGATCTATAATGAGAACAATAAAAATGTTTATCCTTAAAATAGTTGGTTGTATTTATAGTACTTTTCTGTTAGATTTGGTAGTACATTGATATTGATGAATATATATGTCTTTGTCCTGTTTAGGATGCACCCCATTGTAGCTGCTATTTAAAAAAAAACAATTCTTTCTTCAAAAGTGTGCTTCTGGGAACCACCAATTGTGAAACTGGAAATGTAGTTAGTGCTACTGGTGTTGCATTCTTATGCTTTAATCTGATAGTGAAGAGCCTACCCTCCCAAAACATCTTGTCTGTCTTGGATCATATTTGTATTTGATAGACTGGAACCCTAACAGATAAATGTTTTTGGTTGTCTTTGTTTTTTGCTGCCTCTTTGCTTTTTTGCTCTTTGTTCTTTCCTATTAAGGCAAAACTTTGCTGCCTTTTTTGTTTTTTGTTTTTTTGCTCTTTCCTATTAAGACAAAACAAGCCATTAATGCTAGAGATTGAGCTGGATCTTTGTAAATTCCTCAACAACCACATAATGCCTGACAAGATTCTGTGAGGCCAGAATCTCACATTAAATGGCATATATTTGTCAGGAATAACTACAAGTCTAGGCATAGATCAAAGAGGAGGAACTCTTTGGGGATTCAGAATTGCATTTGATATTAAGTGGGTTGCATTATTGTAGATTTGATGTTAGAATAAAAAGGAATCAATCTTACATTAAATGGCTCAATTAAATCAAGAAGAGGACTTAGAAAGATATTTGGCAGGGTGTTTCCCCCCCCCCCTACTCAAAAACAGTTTCAGCACATGCTGAAAGTATTGCTTTTGAGATCAGCTGATATCAGCAAGATGCTGACAGCAATTAGTTGGTCAAAGACATCAGGTTCATAGTTTCAGTGGCTTCAGTAATGCAAAAGGTAGGTGAGCATTGGCCAGGAATGATGGGAGACTGCTCTGTTTAGTCATTCTGAAGTGTACAGTGCATCTTAGTACTCGACTGCTTCAAAACTCAACAAATTTGGTATTCTACGCATTTGATGTGAAAATGTTCCAGTACTTGGCCTTTGTTTAGGACTCAACATGCTGCTATAAGAGGAGTGTGGGGAACAGACAGGAAGCCAACCAGGCTGGGAAGGTCACTGACATAGGAAAAGGGACAGACAGTTCTTCCAGGCCGAAACAAAGGGTTACATGGTAAATCATGTGGTTTGTTTGGGACTCGTCCTTTTTAGTACCCATTGCACCTCCCAAAACCAATTAATGCTGAGTAGTAAGATACTAATGAGACGTGGTGACGCAGTGGCTAAGACGCTGAGCTTGTCGATCAAAAGGTCGGCAGTTCAGCGGCTTGAATCCCTAGTGCCGCATAATGGGGTGAGTTCCCGCTACTTGTCCCAGCTTCTGTCAACTTAGCAATTCAATAGCACATAAAAAATGCAAGTAGAAAAATAGGGACCACTTTTGGTGGGAAGGTAACAGCATTCCATGCACCTTTGGCATTTAATCATGCTGGCCATATGACCACAGAGATGTCTTTGGACAGCGCTGGCTCATCAGCTTTGAAACAGAGATGAGCACTGCCCCCTAGAGTCGGGAATGACTAGCACATATGTGCGAGGGGAACCTTTACCTTTACCTTTTTACCAAGATATTACTGTATTTATGTGTTGGTGAAAGATGTTGAATGCAAATATTGACAGATCTAGAGAAGGAGTATATATCTTTCTAGGACCATTAATAGTACTAACTGAATAACTAGAAAGAGTTTATATGCTGAACTATGAATTTTTCTTCATAGGTCAGTTAAATTTTGCATTATCCATAATATGTATTAAATCCTTTAGATTTGAATTTTCCATTCATGTGATCTTTTTAGACAGATAAATGATTTATCCAAACTTGCCGAAGTTTTATTGCCAGATATACTTATTGATGTCCTTTGAATGGTTCTTCAAGTTGTTGGCTTCCTGTCGTCTTCTAAAAATATGCAGCTAATTTGTTTTGACACCAGAGTTAATGCACCTGCTATTTTTATTGTCCAGTAAGATTTCTCTAAACAGATAAGATTTTTTAAAAATCTAGGAAACAACAGCCACCTTTGTTAATACCTTCTGAGTTCAAGCATAGCCAAAGAAAGTTAGAACAAAGACATTTAATATTTTTCCAGCACGAAGGAATTTTCTTTTTACTTTCTACATAATGTATTATTTTCATATACATTATATTTAATAAAATGTACTGATACAGAAAAAAGGAAAAGGTGAGCTTAGTACTATTTACATGTCTTAATTCAAACATTTCAAACAACATTGAAAAATAAAAACAAGTGATTTTTCATTGTGTTTTCAACCAGTCAGTGCTAAATAACAGCATGCCTATTAAGTTAAACTTACTCTAAAACTTGGTCAGTTTAAAGTTTTTAACTAAAGTGTGTTTCTCTGGTCAAAAAATACATAAGTATGTCATTTCTGATACAAAATTCTACACTATCTTCAATAAATAAATAGTAAACCAATTCTTAAAAGTATGAAATGTAAACTTTGTTGTTTTTCCAACATACAGGATTTTTTTAAAAAATGATTGCTGAAAATAATACAGTGGCTTCCTTGGAAATAATAATACACAAACAGTTTTAAGCACAATTTACATTTATCACCAGACCTTATATACCTATCAAGTATAAAGTTATTCTAATTTCCTAATGGAAATAATAAAGATTTGCTGTGCTAAATAACATTCATCTCCACAGGAAACATGAAAACTGATACCAAAACAACATGCAAAGAACAGCAAAACCAACACAACTCACAAGTACACTGACGTGCTAACAGAACCATCAACATCTCTCATACTGGAAATCTACAAAAATCCCCTTTTAAGCATGATCCTTGGGTATCAAATGGAATAATTGAAAATAAAAAATGTACTCGCACTGACCCAAATTCTTCTGTCAATGTGTCAAGTTCATCCCAAGTTCTTAAGCATATTTTGTTTAAGCACTCATCTGAATCAAGTTTTTCCTATTTGAAATTGCAGAACACCAGTGAATCTTTACATTTGCAGCATAGCAACAGGTTCCTTTGACTGAGATCACTCACTCTGCGAAGTCTCAGCACATCCAATGTTTGACAGGCAAATCTGCAACTATTTTGATGAGTTACAATATGTTACCGTAGTTTCAAAACCCATGGTGTATCATTTCATTTGACAGAGGCACATAATGCAGTGTAATAAACTGCCCTGTCTATAGATATTTTAGCCTTGCCTTCATAGACAATAACGGCTTTTGTGAACTAGAGCAACCTTTCCTTACCATTAGATTAATCACCCAGCAGCAATTTAATAATCTTATTGCAAGGTACAGCAAATACACTGCAGGACTTGGGTGACTCTACTAATTGGATCAAATATTCTTTCCAACTCAAGTAAAATACAAATACCTGAAGCACTGATGCATGGATAGGGATTAATCCATTTGGTGAAAGACTAATGCATATGAGAGGCAACAGGTTTCAGGTCCACTTAAAAGTCTTGCCTGCTAAAGGGAAGGGTTTTAAGTTACTGCACCCTGGGCCAGCAATTTACTCTTAATCCATAAAATGTCTGCTTCAACAAATGCTATGAAAAAGCAGTCTTCAGCTAAGCTCTGGAAAACATTCCAGGCTACCTGTCACTTCAACATTTCTTTCCTCTTTTTTTAAAAAAAACATTCAAATATCATGAACTTCCTAAAAAAAAATCCAAATATCTTACATGGCAAGAATGCATTCATGTTATAAGTATTTTTATATAAATATATTCACAATTTGTTTATATACTACTCTGAGGGGCAATAGGCACAACACTCTAGGATAAATTATTAGAAAGTCCAAAAATTCATATTAGGACACCCTCTTGACATAGCATGCTGCAGGAACCAGGAAAAAGTGCAATGTTTTCTCTACCTTGTCAGAACACAGACTAAGGTCTGTTATTCTAGAAACCCTGAATACTGCAGCAGAAATTCCACAGAAAACACCAGAACAAAAATAAAATGAAAAATAACATTTTTCTCACAATTTGGAATTTAGTATTGTCAAAAATTAATCTGGCTAATAAGAGTCCATAACATCTGCATGGCGAGTTATTTATCTCTTCTAAAAGAACTGAGCTATTTTGTAGAAACCTCTCACATTTTCCTTTTTAAGGCTCATCAAACAGCTGCAAATCAAGTCGGACAACTATCTCTCCTGTTGGGACTTCATGCAGGAGAAGACACTTTGTAACTGGTCCCTTTGAGCCTTGGTCTTTCTTAATATCAGCCACACGAATTTCTGTTCGACCCAAGAAATCTGAAATAGGAAACCCACAATTATAATGAATGTGAATATTGGGATCAAGCTGAAAAACAAGCACATCCTGTGCATATTTTATTTCTAGGAAAATGCCACAAAGCAAAGAACTCTAGGCATGAATGTAGACCAGTTAACTTTCCTTTCAGTTGCAACTACTTGTATTGTCTCTTATCCTCATTGAAAGTTCCCTGCCATTTAAAGGTGTACTTTCAATTATTATCAAGGCATGCTGTAAGAATGAGAAACCTGATATTTTCCATGCATGCACACTGCCATAAAAACACACTTCTCTCCCCATTGACTATATAGGTTGAGAAAAGCTGCTTTAAACATAAAACTAAGCTGAAAAATGAGAAGTGCCACTTACCATCAGGAGAGAATTGATCTCTCTCAAACACTGTTATGCACAGCACATCTTGTTCCAAATCTTTGATAAAAAACTGACAGTTAGAATTCCATTTGGGATTGAGAGTGTCCTGTATAGTCTTGGTGATATGACACTGTGACCCCATTGTCACTTCACAATACGGATTACTCTTTCCTAATAGAAGAATTCACATAGATGGTATAGGATTGATTACATATTTGCATCTATGAAGTCAGTAATTTATTTCTATTCTTTTCACAAGATATCACCATTTGCGTTTAAACAAGGAAATTCATCTGGCTTTTTGAGTGTATGAATGCTGCAAAATGAAATCTGGCATCATTCAAAGT